ATTTAGATAATTTATGACCCAAATAACCATTTTGAGTGAAATTAAAAAAATTTTTTGCCTTTCTTAATACTGATCTACCATACCTGTTGGTATGGTCGGCTAAAAATAAAGATGGTTACAGAAGAAGGAAAGAAGCTAAAAAAGGGTTTCTTTGGATGCCTTTATAGATTTTTTTCTAACTGGTGAAAGTAAACTCGTAAAAAAATAAAAACGAAAATCGGAAACTACAGTTTTTCGACCATATTTTGGGAAAAAATCCAAATTTTAGTTATAAAATTTACGCTTTACAAAATTATGCAATTAATAATAGACGTCATTAGTGCCTATAATTAGAATCAGGTAAAGGAACTCATTTATCGTATTAAATCTTTTTAAAGACTTTATTCGCTCACGCGATCTGCTACTTTGAGGAAGACTAGCTAAATATGCAGTATGATTGCCTATCAATTGATAATTGAGACAGTTTAATTGTTAATTGTACTGCAATTTCGCAATTATTTTCTCGGTAGTTAACAGCTCGGCAAGTCCTATTTCCTATTCTCTGTTGGCTTGTTAAAGGTTCTCGTTTGTAACTTGTCTAGCTGTCAGTTATAGGGCTGATTTGTGATATACTTTGGAATGTAGAAACCTGTCTTTTTTGTATTGTATAAGTTGTATTTCTTGAGGTTATAACTCATTATTCTTCAGGTTCTTCAGTTCCGTTTTAAGTTGGTTTTCACTTGGGATGCAAAACGGTTCTGGTCCAGTTAATGGAGTATTCGCTCTTCTTCTAGCTAGATCGTTTGCTTTTTCATTACTGTGATTTTTCTATAAGTTTATATTGTTACAACGTACAGCAAGGCAAAACCTGTGCAAAGTACAGAGACTGGCATGTACCTGCATCATAGGTGCAATGAGAACATGTCCAACAGCAGCAATGGAGGTTATTCTAGACCTAACACCACTGCACATCGTCGTCGGTAGTTATGTCAATGCGACAATGATTAGAATGATCATTGACGGAAACAGTACTGGGAGAATTTTCAGGTCAGGGGCTTGGAACACCCTCAAAAAGAAAATTCCACTTCTCCAACTCCCAGTGGATGACATACCCAGAATTTACAACTTTGAGAAACACCTCACTGTTGTATTGAGTAATAAAACGATTGGGAAGGAAGAAGCGCTTACTCAGCATAAACAAAAGACCATACCATCACGTGGTATACTGATGCTTCCAAAACCAAAGCAGGGACAGGGATAGGAGTATTTGGGCCGAAACTAAATACTCCCGAGCAATGGGCACCTACGCCAGTATCCTTCAGGCAGAAACTTACGCTATTGAAGATGCGTACAATTTATCTTAGATAGGAACTATCCCGAAAACCGGAAATTGTCATCTATCCGATAGTCAAGCAGCACTTAACGCGATCAACTCAGTAACCATCAATTTTAAGTTGGTCAAAGAATACAAGCTCAACAAATTAGGCAAAAATAAAGTCCACTCCTACTGTGGGTGCCTGCTCACCAAGGGATAAAGGCAATGAAAAGCAAATGATCTAGCGAAGAAAGGAGCGAACACTCTACTAACTGGACCAGAACCGTTCTGTTTTCCAAACGGGAACCAACTGAAAGCGGAACTGAAGAATCTGGAAGACTCCATCCGTAACTTGGAATGAATTGTCCTCCAACGGTCTAAGACACTCGAAAATTTTCCTCAGAACTTACGACCGAGAAAAATCAGATTTTCCTTGATTTAAGTAAAACAATCTTCGGATTGTCTTCGGGGGTCAGGACACTGTCTCCTCAACGAACACCTCAGTAGGCTGAAGCTGAGAAACAAAATGGAAACACCAGGAGCCTTACTGAGTGCGCAGAGACGGCGACCATTCGTGCCATGAACTTTGGTACGTCTGATGTGGAGGATGGAGGAGCTGGCCTCTGTGGAGCAATCTCAGATACTGGCTTTTTGTTAAAGCCCCTGAGACTGTATGATGAGTTATAACTCGTTATAACTCAAGAAGAAGGAACACACAATAGATCTATGAGGTCGCGGTGATTAACTCTCTAAACATTCCACATTCATAGGTTTATTGGCCAAATTAAAACTAAAATAACCGAGTTTCTTTATTTATTTTAGATTCGATTTTCCCTAGTATACCTACCAATTCTCGCTTATTTTATCGTGTGCGAGTTCACAAAGTCAAACTCGCAAAGACAACTCCTTTATTTCGCAGTTCAAAGTCGAAAGAGTGCTTTTAGGAGTACAATAATAATATGACAAGTCGCGCAAATCTAATCTACAGTTCATCTCTCAAAGGGATTCGGTTTCTTAAAAGCAACTAGAACGCGAGTACCTACTTTAAAATGCTTCTATGTGAGTTTTATATTATTTGTGTTTTATTACTTTGTCTTTCATAAGAATATCTATGTTTTTATACTTAAAAAATATTCAAAAGTAATATAACAGTCAGAGACAATTTGAAATTTTAATTGGTATACTGGGCTGGGTGTTCTTCAAAAGAGACTCGCCTCCATAACTTATTTATTTTTTCAGATAAAAAAACGAGATTTGGTATACCGTCACCCTAGAATAAGATTTTTCTATAGACCATTTCGATGAAACTGAGAAAACAAAGTTTAAAGTTTAAACTGATGGATATCCGTGAACACTATATTCCAAAATGGTTCTATTAAACATATAAATTAAGGGTAATATAAAAACCTATCAAACATATGTATTTATTTTGCTTTTAGAAGTGTTTAGAAGCTTTATTTAAAAAGATATTAATAGATTTAGATTTGGATATAGAACAAATGTGTCTATTAGCTGTGCATTGAGACGATTTTAGGGATATAGAACAAAATAAGGGGATATGGAATAATATAATACTCATTTAAGCTGATTTATTTGTATTTCAAAATATTATTTCAACAACACAAAATAACTGAAATGGAGACATTAAGTAAAACAACATAAAAAATAAAAACCTAAAAAATACAATAGTAGTAATTATTCTTCTGCATTGTTTATTAATAACTATCATTTTTTCCGCCTATTTGTTTGGTATGTAGTGTTAGAATAACTTAATCAGATTTTAAATCTGATTTTAAACTTTCATTGGATTATTTAAATGTTTTTGGCTATCTAATTCAATTGTCAAATTACATAGAAATAACGCCAACCCAGCACAATATTTTTCTACTCTAATGATTCTTGAAATAATAATTTCTGAATATTTTTTAAAAGTTAACTCGCTAATGGAAAAAAAATATTGTTTTATACACGACGATAAAATTGCATTATCGTCCCCAGAAATTAATTTGTTTTATATCTTTTAATACAAATTATATTTTCTCCATTTCAGAGAACAACACTATGAGGTACAAAATATCCAGAATCCTCCACATACTCCCAAAAAACACCTTCAAATAAAGGAAAACCAAATATAGAAACAGAATCAACGACTTTACAGGCCATACAAATTTCGAATGCAAGAAACGAACATGCCAATGAAGAACTTCCTGAGAACATTCACCGGATTTTTCGTGAAAATCAAGTTTAAACCGGCACGGATCAGTGTTAGTTTTAGTGTTTACGTTGTGTTGTGTTTGCTGGTGGTTCGTGTGGAAAGAAGCGCGTGCAATAGACCGCCAAGATTTCTTATTGATGGCCAAACTGAGATCGTTTTAAGACTGAAAGAAGGCAAAGAAACGCCGATAGGTAATGTAAACATTATTAAATTACTTTTTTAAACACTATTTTTATTTGCTTTTGTTTAAAAAAAAACTTAATAAAGGGCAAAATTTATACGATTATTATTATATTTCTTTCTGGCGTGCGTAAGTGAAGAAAAGCGTTTAACTAGTACTTTTGGACAATTTCGTCAAATAAACTGCCGGACATAATTATCGGGACAAGCAAAATTTTAAGGTAAATTTAAAGTTGAATATCTCTTGAACTAAAAAAGATTTTGGGATGCGGTTTGGACCAGGTTTTAGATGCATCTATTGTGATTAATGTACTATGTGGTTTTCGAAAATATATTTAGCGAATTCTCGTATACAGGGTGTTTTATAAGAGTGTGAAAATTTGATCAAGAATCTTTTTTACCGCAAATTTAAAATTCTTAAAAAATCGAAATTGTTACCAAGTCCGATTAATCTGTATTGAAATTAGAAAAAATAATTTGATCGGGTTTTTATTTTTTTTTGTTTTAAGGAAAATACGGCGTTTTTTCGAAAAATATGCATTTTTAGTCATACGATGGTCCTAAATGATACAAAAAGCTTTGTACATTCTGCACATGCCAAAAAATTATTGATATAAAGTGTATCTAAAAGCACATAACTAACACAAGTTGAAAAAACCTTCAAAATCAGAATAATATTTTTATTTATAAAATAAGTAGATAAATTATAATAAAATTTATGTTTATTTAATATTAAATATATTTTTTTAACACCCTGTATTCATCGGTCGAAATTTCTGTACAGCTAGTTTAAGATACACGCTATATCAGTATATTGTGTGCCTATGCAAAATGTACAATGCCTTTTGTTACATTTAGAACCAAATGTATGACGAAAAAAAATCATATTTTCCTTAAAACAAAAAATTAAAAATAAACACCAAATTGTTTTTTCTAATTTCAATGCAGATTAGTCGTACATAGTTAAAATTTCGATTTTTCAAAAATTGTAAATTTTCGGTAAAAAAATTCTTGACCAAATTTGTACACTATTATAAAACACCCTGTATACGAGAATTCGCTAAATATATTTTCGAAAACCACATAGCATCTTAATCACAATATTTGCCACAATTTTGAAGCAGCCTGTATACTCTATAATAATTTTAAAATGTGTATCTTAACCGTCCCTATAACTTTTATATTTAATGTTTTTTTGTAAACCTCGAAACAAATGAGATAATGGATTTTACTCTACCGTTGACTCACCCTATACAGTTTATTTTTTAATTAAAATGACAAATAACAACTCTCACTGTCAGATATTCTCTAATGAGACAAACTGTACATAAATAAATCCAGGATTTCAGAGCTTACTTTGTCCAGAATTTCCAAAAACTTATATGAAAACTCTAACTAAAACACTTTATTCCAGGGTATTAACGGTACCTTCCAAATGTACGTCAAAAATGCCAAAGATTTATTCGAACTGACCCCTAACAAAGCTACCAACGAAGCTACATTCACTATTAAAGTCAAAAATAGTACTGCACTGGACTACGAAAGAATAAAACTACTAAACTTCACAATTGTAGCCAAGGAAGTAGTTAAAGTCAGTCCTAAATCCAGTGAAGTACCGGTTATAGTACATATTTTAGATAGAAACGATAACTATCCCGAATTTACAAAGACTTCTTATGAGGTTTGGGTGCCAGAAAATTGCGAGGTTGGTACTACCGTAGCCTGGGTGCAAGCGCTTGACGATGATTCTGGATCGTTTGGTACAACCGGTGTGAGATACACTAACATTGCTGGAAGTATTTCGAATTTGTATGAAGAAATAACAAGAAAAAATGTTTTAGTTTCATTAAAGAATCTTTTTTTAGATTAAATCTTCATCCAGTGACTGGAATTATCACTGTAAAACTGGAAGGAGGACCTTCATGGGACAGAGAACAAGTCTCTAGGCATTATTTGACAGTTGAAGCCCGAGACGACTTAGGAAATGGAAACAGAAACACCGTACAGCTTATTATTAACATAGAGGATGAAAACGACAACAATCCGGTGTTTGTTCAGACTAAATACGAAGCTAGGTTACTGGAAAACAAGAAAAACTTCGAGGCAGTGCTTAAAGTTGAGGCTAGAGATGCTGATCTGAATGGTAAAGCTATGTTTTGTTAATTTAAAACAGGGTAATCGGGTATTTTAAAAGATTCAGGTCTGGAATTACATCCAAAGGTGATCCAGGTTCCAGTTTAGCCGGATATATATCATTCTAACGTTTATTTTTAATTTAACTAAGTTTTGTTTTGCATAAAGCAATCCGCGTTCAAAAGTTTTATAATCTGTTAGAGAAATCTAATGTTTTTGTTTTGCCAAATCCTTATCACCTGATCATAGTTGTTCTCTCTATTTGGTAGAGGTACCTTAAGGTTCAAATTTATGACTATTACGCATTACGAACTGGATATACTAATAAAAATATAGTCAAGACACAATTTCAACCAGCTTCTTGCTAGAAGCGAAATCATCGGCATTTCATCATCATCATTTTCAGCAACCATTTCCAGTTATGGTGCAGCCTTCCTCACATATTTAGATACTCTCTTTTTAGTTAGGCCCATTATTAACTATTTTGGCTATGCGTGCCCAAGTTATCTCTACTAATTTCCTAATATCATGGTCCCATCTCAGGTTCGGTCTTCTACTAAATATCTTTATTCCTCTTGGGTCTATCTTTCTATCTATTCAGCCTCTTCGGTCCATCGTTGGACATAGGCATCCCTCAATCTCTTCCACTCTTCCCTTTCTGTTGCCGTGCTCATCCATCTTGTGCCTGCATGTTTCCTCAGATCGTCCGCCCATCTCATCTGAGGTCTTCCTCTACTTCTTCTATTCTCCCAGGACCTCCAGTTTACGATGCATTTGTTCCATCGAGCATCCTTCTGTCTGACATTGTGACCGGCAAACTTCCATTTCAATTTTGCTACTTCACTTCTAACATTCCTTACTTTAATTTTTCCTCTGATCGACTCATTCCTTCTTCTATCTGCCAGCCTTACATGTAGCATTTGTCTTTCCATAGATCTTTGAGATTTTGTTACCTTATCCATATTTGATTTTGTCTTGAACTTAATTTTCCAAATGCTGCCCAGGCCAGTGTTACTCGTCTCTTTATTTCAGCTGTTTGGTTTTCCTTTTTCAGTTTAATCATTTGTCCCAGATGAATTACTCTTCAACTTGTTCTATTTTTTCTTGGTTTATTCTGGTTGTTATGTTTTCATCTGTGTTTGTTATGATCTTAGTTTTAGTGTAGTTCATATTTAGGCCTATTCTTCTAGCTGCTGTATCCAGTTCTTCCAGCATTTCTACCAGTTCTACCTCGTGGGTTCTACCTCGGTCTACCTCGTGGGTACCATGCTGTCATTTTTGTGGTCCATCTGTTGTCGTAATTTTTTAGTGGTAAAGTGCACTAACAAAAACATCAGTATCGGTAGAACAAATAACTACGTTCTTTACGTTTGTAGTCAGTGTCATGTGAGAAATATGGGTTTCATATATTCCAACGTACGTCCTTCTTCAATTCTGCCATTCTTTATACTGAAACACCTTGGTTTACCATCTTTAACAACGCCAACCAGGTAAATTGGAATAGATGCAGTGATATTTTGAATCTTTTTTCCGGGATACCCAATCAACAAAGTATGACTGCAATAATTCTTTGTTTTGACAGGAGGCTCACAAGAATGTGTAATTTCAATAAAATTAAAGAAAATATTCCAGATTCCTCCGCTAAGTGGAAATGTTAAAAATATCCGAATAACTAATAAATTTGTCAGTAAATTGTTTACAATTTTTTTCTTCATAAGAGGAGTAAATCGATCTTTAAAAATGCAAAATCGGAGCACTTTTTACGGAAATATAGTCAAAAAAAATTTAGAATTTGGCAGCCATTTTTAAATATTGCGAACGAATGACCATGTTCTGGACCATGTGACCAATTTTGTCAATTACTCCTAGAGGTGCTTAACAAATCCCCGCAACAAAATTTAGGGGACATACAACGGCACACGTGACATAGGCTAGCTCCTAGACTAGACGAAAAAAAAGAACTAAAACTAAATTTGAACGTAGTCCTCGTCTGTTGATTTCTTTGACGAACCTTGTACAATCATAACAAATTCTACAATTTCTTGAATTTACCAATAACGTAACAACACTAGACAAAAATTTTAATAATACAAAATAAAATACAATGAGGTTACGATTCTGCGAAAGTTTTCAAATTCTAGAATTACCCTGTATAAATGATTTTTCTTCTAACTAGGTACAAAAAACAGCGAAATTGAGTACTTACTGTTCGGAGAACTCCACCAAAACTTCACTATAGACCCTGTAACCGGCATAATCAAACCCAAGCACCCGATTGACTTTGAAAACATCGAAGGACCAGAAGAGGAAAATGTCAGAATACTTTACCTTACTGTCAGAGCTAGAGACCACGGGACTCCGAGCCTCTACAACGAGGTTCCGTTGCATATATACATAGAAGACGTAAATGACAATGCTCCCTTCTTTGATTATGTTTTTTACAATGCTTCTATACCAGAAGACGCGGAAGGTGGTACTCAAATCATACAAGTGGAAGCATTTGATCTGGATGGATCATCACCAAACAATCGAATAGTTTATCGAATTCAAACAGGAGCTCTTGATAAGTTTGTGATCGATTCTGAGACAGGTAGTTGAGAATTTTAGTCACGTGATTAAGCTTGACCGGCATAGTATTGCCCACTTGGGACCTCCTTGATAGATAAAAGTATTTTTTAGGTGTTATATCAGTTGCAAGTGGTGCAAACCTGGATCCAGATCTGTCACAACCTAGAAAGAGTCTCTATTCTCTAAACGTTTTGGCTCTGGATGGCGGTCAAGGAGAAAATCAACTCCATGCAGCTGTAACAGTGGAAATCCTGATTCAGGATGTAAATAATAAGAACCCTGAGCTTCTGGACATAGAAGATTTGTCAGTGGAAGAGAATACCCCCGTAAGTTTATTTAGTTTAACTTTATTGTCATTTTATGTGTTCTAATATTTAGGTTGGAACTGTCATAGCAAAAATACGGGCTAGAGATCCAGACGAAACAGCCAAGTTGATTTACATGCTCGACCAAGACAATTGTCAAGCAAAAAACGAGCGAGATATTCTTTTAAAAGCTGATGATATTAAATGCGTTAGTTATTTCAATTTGGAACCTTCCTCTGGAGTCCTAAGCGTTGGCAAACAGATTGACAGGGAAGAAATTGATATGTTCCGGATCAGTGTGATCGTTTCAGATGAGAATTCTGACACAGGACAACAAATAGACTCGGGTATCTTTATTTTTAAAGTATTAATGAATTTTCTCTCTTGGTATTTATGATATAACTTTTTCAGCTACTTTTAAAATTCAGATTGAGGATGTTAACGATAATAACCCTAAGTTTACCCAACCCTTCTACAAATTCAGCGTGCAAGAGAACGGCAAGAATGGTATTTTAATCGGCACAGTTAGAGCAATAGATCCAGACAAAAACAAAACAATATTTTACAAGATCGAGGGTAAGCAACAAAACAACAATTTAGTTCACTTAGATAGCAGTTCTGGAGATCTGGTAGTGGCTAGCAAAATCGATCGAGAAAGTCATCAATGGCTCAATTTTACTGTAAGTCTTTTGAGTCTAAAAATAGTTTTAAAAATACACAAATCTCTTTTTTCTTTTATTACAAAGATTAAAGCCGTCGACTCTGGAGTACCCAGTCTTTCAACACGCTCAGAAGTCCTTGTACAAATTCTAGATGAAAACGATAATAATCCTGAATTTGATCCTGAACCCAAAGCACTCGTTATACTTGAAAATATTCAGCCAGGTTAGCACATAATTGTTATTTGATATATCGTGTATTCTAGGTTATCGGGATCTCACATAGACGTATATTTTTAGGCAGTAAAATAAGTACAATTAGAGCTACAGACGCTGACTCGGGAGAGTACGGTAAAATAACCTATATCCTGGATAGAGTATCGTCTCAAGGAAAATTTGCTATTGACAGTGACAGTGGAGTATTAAGGGTAGCTGAGGAACTAGACAGAGAAGACAGAGCTTCGTATATGCTTATTATAGAAGCTTGGGATAATTACCAATATGGATTTAACGCCAGGGAAAGCAGAAATGCTTTTAAACATCTTAAGTATGTATTGCGACCATTAATATAACGTTTTATTTAATTTAGTTCCTTTATAGTGTCACTCTCTTGGACGTAAACGATAACACACCAGAACTAGTAGTCGAAACAGGCTGTATTAACATCACAGAATTCCAGGAAGTCAACCAGCCAATTACTCTAGCCCATGCCTCAGATGATGATGACCCCAACACTCCAAATGGCCAGGTTATAATCGATATATCCGATGGAAACACTGAAGATTTATTTGAATTGTACCAGGTGTCTGAGTGGTCGTCTCAGATCAGAACTAGAAGTTCTTTGAGGGGTCGACATGGGAACTATACCTTGATACTTAGGGCTCAGGATTTAGGGAACCCTAGTTTACTAACTGAAGAAGCTGTAAGGATATGCGTGATGGATTATAACGACCATCCTCCAGTTTTTGTATCACCTCCACATAATTCAACACTACGTGTCCCAGAGGTAGGTTTAAAATACTTTAATATCATTATTAATGTAATACTATTTTTTGTTATATTAGAATGCTACAGTGGGCAGTGCCTTAGTCCAAATAATAGCCACGGATGAAGATGTAGGTCGTAATGGGGCTGTTAGATACAAACTAAAGACTGACCCAGCTGGACATTGGAGAACATTCACTCTACAGCCTGTTTCAGGAATACTAGAGCTACGATTACCTCTGGATAGGAAAAAACAAAAAATATTTGACGTAATCTAGTACCTTTAAAAGTTATTAAACATTCAGATTCTGAAAATTTATTTTTAGATTCGTGTTGAAGCTTACGATTTAGGTATGCCCACACCTTTAAGTTCTGACCTCGATTTAACCGTCTATGTTAGTGATGTTAATGAATACCAACCCCAGTTTGTTGAAGACGAATATGTCATAGAATTTACAGGTAAATTACAAAAAAATTCTGAAGTTTTTGATGAATAAATTAGTGTTTTTTTTTTCAGAAAACGAAGATCCAGGAATTGAAATTAAGACTCTCCCAAAAACTATCGATCGTGATGAGCTGGAATATGAAGGACCTCCTGCTCCTGTATGTTATTTCATTGTTGCTGGGAATGAAAACGAAATATTTTATTTACATCCTTTTGAACACACGGTCCAAGTAACTCAGCCTTTGGACAGAGAAGAACAAGATCTTTACTTACTACTCGTCAAAGCCACAGAAGACTGTTCACATCCGCCTTCAGTCGAACATTTCTTTGACGTAAACGATGACACTCAATTAAAAGTCATAGTGAAAGTAAAAGACGTCAATGACAATGCTCCCAGATTTACCAGAAGAGTTTTCACTGGAGGTGTCAGCACTGCAACTTCCTTCGGCACCAAGTTCATGCAAGTCAAAGCAGAAGACCCAGACGACGGTCAAAACGCTCTTTTGTCTTACTACCTAGTTGGTAAAGTCCAGATGACCCTTACAGAAGGTCTAGATAGTCTTTCCAGAGTCCCGTTCATTGTAGAAAAAGATTCTGGAGAAGTCCAGTTAAATTTCGATCCCCAGCAAGGCATGAAAGGATACTTTGACTTTATGGTGGTTGTTAATGATACTGGAGGACTCCAAGACACTGCTAGGGTATTTATTT